ATTATGAGACCAGATCTTTATTAATATTAAATAAAAATAATGTCAAAAAAATTAATAATAACATTTTTCTAAATAAATCCACATTACTTTTAAAAAACGTTTGAATTAGGAACCTCTCTCTGAAATTTTTTTTTAATATACAAACTTTTTTTTTTTGGAACCTTTACAACCTCTTTATTATTTATATATATATATATATATATATATATATATATATATATATATATATATATATTTTCATTTATTGATTTTCATTAAAAAGGACATTGATAAAAAGTATTTGAAAATTTATTTTTTATAAAATTACATTAAAAATTTAAATTATTTTTAATTTTTCCAAAATCATTTAAAAAAAAAAGAAATTACAATATTTATCCAAACTTTTTTAATAAATATAAGCCTTTGCTTATTCAACCATTATCAATGATATATTTCAAACATAAAACAATAAAAGACCGAAAGTGAAATATTTTTTCATATAATTTTATTTAATATATATTTCATATATATATAAAAATATATATAAAATTTTTTAAAAGATTTTTTTAATTTAAAAATTTTTTCAAATTTTATATATCTTTTAAAAACCATAAAAAATTAATTCAAATGTAAAATGTTTTAATTTTCGATCTATATTATTTAATGACCTTATATATATATATATATATATATATGGGATATATATATATATATATAAAGATATGAAAATATAAGAAAAGAAGAAATACTTTATTTTACATTTTCTCCATATCTTATTCTCTAATGAAACCTGTTAAATATCCCTATTTGTTCTTATTACTGTCGGATTCTGATCCATATTTGATCCCAACTCTCTCTCTCTTTCTCTCTATATAAACATTTTCTTAAGATATGTATATTTATTAAACTGGAGAAAGACGAGTAAAAAAAAAAAAAAAAAAATCATCAGATTACAATATTAAAATATCAGCTTGTCTGATTAAAAAAAAAAAAAAAATAAAGTTAAAAGAGCATGTTGAAAATTTTTCAGTCCCAACCAAGAAAGGATTAAAAAAAAAAAAAAAAAAAATTGTTTGTACAGATTTTTGAGGAAGAAATGGGCCAGAACAAATTTTTTTTTCAAGAACTTTTTTGCATTTTTTCTTGTTCAGATTTGCCATTTGCAATCAATTTATAATGAAATTTTTCATTAAAACCGTTTATATTCCCATCATATCATCTTCATATTAAGAATATTCTTATACATGACCCGCAGACATTCAAACACATCCAGCAAGTCTCTCTTTTAATCCCTCATGCAGATAGTTTCTCTTTCAGGAATTTTGCCTTCAACCGGATATTAAAACCTTTCTTCTATAATCTTTTGTAGGCATTTTTCCGAAAAAAGTCCTCGTGTTTCAAAATAATAATATTTTTGGTAACTCTGATATTCGTCTAGTAAGAATTTATCTCCTTCAAATCCATCCTGCAAAGGACCTCCTACCACTAGAACGTTTTAAATATTAAAAAAAAAATTTTAAAAAAAATTTAAAAACATAAACTATTCAATAATATAATTCAATTTTTTTTTTTTGGGCAAAAAAAAATTTTTTCCATAAATAAACTTTCTAATTGATTGAATAAAAAATGAACGGGTTTACCAACTATATTTAAATATTAAGATTTTTATCAAAATAAATAAATTCCCTTGGGTTCCTAAAAAAAATTAGGAAGAGTTTAAAAAATTTCATTTCGGTTCAAAATGAACAATTGACTCACTATCAGCCTTATATGACTTTCAACTTTTCTTGATGTTATTTAATTATAAAATTCCCCTGGGATGTTGTCTTTAATCTTCTTGTCCAAGAATGTGCAATGAGGTCTCATCCTGGGTTAAAGCTGGAATCAACGCTTTCATTTAATAAAGGAAAATATAGGTCATTTTCTTTCCTCCCCCCTGGTTCTCCGCTGCTCCATTCAGCCGCCATGCCATAGGAACCATTTTGAAACTAATTTCATAGCGACATGTCTGACTGCAATAGACGTCTCTTTTCCTGTTCAATTGAAATAATCGGGTAAAATTTATGTCCTCAACGATGCTAACTCACTATTTGCTGCTCAGATGAAGGAGCGATATTGCATCTTCAAATTCACATCCATTGATTATTGGCATCTCTGCAAAAAGAGTGTATTGAACAATTGAATACCTCTATAATAAAATTTTTTGTTCAATCAAAAATAAATTGACCTCCTCATTTGCCGACAAGGCTGAATTTTTTTTGGAAATTTTCATTCATTTTCATTTATTTTTTGATATTCCGGTGTAAACATACCATAACTTCCCTCTTAGAACTGAGTCCCTATTGATGGGTTACACATAAAAAAATGTTTTGTATTGGAAATTATTCCAATTTAGACCCCAACAAGGCTAGTGGTGGAGATGGGATACCAGCCATTGTCTTGAAGAAATATAGCCTGAACTGATTAAATTTAAATCTATATATAACTACTGCCTCAAGGAATCTTGTTTTCTAGGGAATTGGAAGTCCTCTTGAAAAAATTTTATTCTTCAAGATTTCTGGTGACCCCTTTGACCCTTCTAATTACCATCCTATCAGTTTCCTACCCCTCTTGGCAAAGTCTTCTTGAAGCCCTAAATCATTATTAGGTGGTTAATCACCTCACATCCCATGATCTGTTTCTCAGACAAGCAATATGGAAAATCTTTTGAGTCCGATCTACAGCTGATGTGCTTACAGCCATCATTGAAAATGTCTACCAAGCTCTTAAAAAATTTGAGGAATTTTTGCCATGGCCCTAGACATCTCTCAAAGCATTGATTTGGGTTTTTATATATATATTCTTCGCAAGCTCCAGGGTTATGGCATTACGGGTCGATTGTTTGACCTAATACAATCATTCCTGTCAAACCGTGAATTGAAGGTCGTTCTCAACGGATTCTCCTCCAGTTCCTATCCCACGAACGCAGGTGTTCCTCAAGGCTCCCATCCTAGCCCCCACTCTATTCCTTATCTACATAAATGACCTTCCTGACGCCATAAATTCCCAAGTTGGCATCTACGTGGATGACACACCACAATTTATTCCTGCCTCAAAAACAAATCTAGTGTCACTGACAAAACTAACCTGGCCCGTGCGTCTCGAAAAGGACCTCCAATCGGTTGTGAACTGGGGCAGAATTGGCTGGTCAACTTTAATGCTTCAAAAAACAAAACTGCTCTCTATTAATCACCACAGAGATCCTTCCCTGCCCTCCATTAGAATGTCTGACGCTCAACTTCTCAGAGAGCACCTCTCTGCGGCTGCTCGGTCTCACGTTGACTGCTGACCTGAGATGGAACAAATACATTGAGTCAATTCCTTTGTCCACCGCAAGGAAAGTTGGCTCCCTGTGCCGCGCCAGAAATTTTTTCTCCCGGAATCGATCCTCCAGATCTACAAATCAACAATTCGCCCTTGCATGGAGTATTGCTGCCATATATGGTCTGGAGCCCTTCTGTTTGCCTCAGGGTTCTTGATAGGCTCCAGAGGCGGATATGCAATATAATTGGCCCTGTTCTGGCATCTCGTCTACAGTCACTTTCTCACAGACGCGCCGTCGCCTCTCTCTGTCTGTTTTACAAATACTTTCATGGCAATTGCTCCGAGGAGCTGCATTTGCTGGTTCCCAGACTTCATGAGTTCAAGCGCCCTACGAGGCTGGCATCCCGCTCTCACCCTTTCACTGTCGAAACTCCTAAATGTAGCCGTCTCTTCTACTCCAATAGCTTCATGTCTCGCACCTCTTGCCTGTGGAACTCCCCTATTCCAGTTTCCCAGAGAGCTATAATCTCCAGCTATTCAAATGTAATGTCAATCGACATCTCCAATTGCCTTGATCTATCCACTAACCTTCTCCTCATCCTTTCTTCTATCATACCTATCTGGTATCCAAATTTTCTGTAACCCCTGCGTCCCTAGTGATCTTGCTTGGGGTGAAACACTTTAAAAAAAAACCAAAAAAAAACAATGGAATTATGGAGCAAAAACTAAAACTAGTTCCTAGAAAAAACAATTTACACAAATTTATTTCTTATGCCTAAGCTAACAATTTTTATGTTCATTGTATCAGATTAAGTAATATGTATCATAATTTAAACTGTAGATAAAATCCTGGTTAATGAAGGTTATAGAATGAAGACTAGTCATCGATGAAGAAACAATACAGATAGTAATGTTATTCAAAGATAAATGCACTTTATCTATGTACCAATCATCTCAAATAACAAAAATAAAATATATTCACCTCTGAAATTAGTGAACTGTTATCACTGAACATTGTTATTGATGAATATATTGAGGAAAATTTCCAAAGGAAAAACATTTTATGTACATTATAAAGCATGAAACATTGTTGGCCTCAGTTTCCACTTATATATTTTAACAAGAGCCACTCAAGGTAGAGGCTTACTGAAGGAGTTTATTGTACTAGCAGTAAGAAGTGCAGTTTATGAGTCTATGTAGGAAAGATAACAGTTAACCTTAGACTTGAAGAGATTGAGATTGTAGTGGAAAAAGTTGTTTGAGTAGAAACATCTTATTACTAATGGAATGCAAAGGGAATGAAGATTGTTCGACAGTGTATATGACATGGAAGGTCTTAGCTGTGAGGGTCAGAATTGGTCGAACTAAGGGACATAGCTATATAGCAAAAGAGTAGTGAGAGGCTTGCAACATTTCATTTGTGGAGAAAGGGGTTGTAGAGTGATAAATAATTCATCACCCACAAGGCCATGTAGACACTTTTAAACTCTCTCAAGACTAGAAAGTGAAGACTGGAAAGCTCCAGCTTCTAGCTGATACTAATTTTATAAAGGAACCCTATAGATAATAAAATGAATAATTATCTGAATAGTTTTTATCGGTCTATTTGCCATGTCATTTTTACATATTAATATTTTTTTTATTTTATTTTTTTTTTAAAAGATAATTTTCATTTCTTATTGCTATATTTCCTATAACATATCTTCTTATTTTTACAGCTTTTTAGATGATCTTGACCGTTTAGGAGCAAAAGATTATATGCCTACAGAACAAGACATCTTGCGAACTCGAGTCAAGACAACTGGTATTGTAGAAGTACACTTCTCATTTAAAAACTTAAATTTCAAGTAAGTTATAATTTTTTTCATATTTTTTACATTGGATATTTAACATTTTCATTGTTATTACTTTATTCATTCAACTGTTATATTTTTAATATATTTCCTATTTGTAAATGGATTTTTTTTAAACAAAATCTTTGATATTCTTTTAACATCCTTATATAGTCACTTATAGATAATGTTATAGTTTCATTATATTATTCAATCATGTAATTAACATTAGCTAGGTAATTTCAATTACAATATATTTTGTTTTTTAAAAGTTTAATTCTTAAGCAACAGATTCATTATTTCTTTCTCAAGGAAACAGCATTTTTAAATACTCATTAAAAAACTAGTGTAATTTTCTTGGAAACTAGCCAGATTTTATGATAGATTAAATCTAAACATACAACTAAGAATAATTATACTATTCTGGTCAATGGTAAACAATAATGTCACAAGTCAATCCTCATCAACGGCCACCAATAATATAGCCCTATACCCTGCATTGATCTTCAAGTTCCTTCAGACCACTGTGGTTATCATCTAGCTGACTCCACACTCATTAATGTGTGGCTCATTTGTTGCTGATATTGTGATGATAGGCATGGTTCCACTCGACTTAGTGTTTGTCCGTTCACAACCATTCACTCCTCTGCCATGTTGTGTTATTTTTATCACTGAAGCAAATTGAAGTGAAGACAGTTCAACAGCTGGGAGCTACACAAAAAACAAAATTTAGAATAAAGAAGGACATCTTCATGGATACATTAATGATCTCTATCTCATCGTCAGGAAGTGGGGAAGGACAAGTAGTCTTAGTTTTGTTCAATCTTACTGAATTCTGTCTAGTTAAATTTGGGTTCCATTTTCCTTGGAATTATTTTAAAACATGATTTTTCAACACATTTTGTTTTTAATTTTCTTTCCTTTTCCTTCCTTCCTTCATTTCTTTGATCAGTCCCTGGAGATCCCAGTGTTACATTCTATTTTAGATAAAAGAAGCCATAATTTGCACTGATCACAAAATAATAAATCTATATTGATTTAAATAGCAAAGGAAATTATATAGTTACATAATAAATTTGCATAAAACTACAATACCACCTATTTTCCTGAAAAAATAGTGTGTGTATATATATATATATATATATATATATATATTAAGTTCATAATTTGATAACTATGACAGCAGATAAATTTGACTACTGTTATTATATGGGATAATTAAAAACAATAGCAATAAAACACCAAATGAGATAGGCTTATATATCTAGATACACTAGATGTCAAAATTTAAAGCTGAGCATCTGTCTTTTATGTTTTGATGTAAACTTTAGCTGCCATTTGTTGTATCTGATTCCCCCCATACACACCTTTTATTTATTTATATAAAAAGTCAAGAAAAAACTATTCTTAGCCAACGTTTCGTCATCTGAGGGATTTTATCAAGGCGTTTAAATTTGGGAACATTTATGAATATTCATCAGGTGGTTGAAAGGTTAGTCAAAACATGTGATGGACACAAAGTGCCATAATTCAGAGTCGGGTAAGACAATAGTAAATGAGTAATAGTCAAGAATTTTTATTTTTTTTAATAATTAAATATTGTTTAAATTATGATCAGATTGTTATGGTTTGTGATGGATGTTTGTGATGTACATCTTCAAAATCTTGAAGTTTAACAGTTTTTTCATTTTTCAACATTTTTTGTGGTCTTGTCTGTTGGCTTGTTAAATTGTTATGGGTAAGGTCCCTTTTCTACATGTTTCCCTAATATATTGTGAAGAACAGTTTTGGTAATTTATATATGCCTGCTTCTGAATTATTGTTATCTATGAACACAAAAGGAACCTTATACATATCAAGTTATCAAATGCACTAGTAATACACAGAAATGAATCCAACCACAATTTTGATCTAAAAATATACCGCACTTATCAAAAGAGAAAGTAATTTACTCAGAAGGAAAATTCTCAAGAGTGCTGCAATTGAGTCTTATCATAATATAAATCTACACCCCAGATTCTTTCCACTCTTGAAGCCAGCATACATGATCAAATGTTGAAGAAAAAAAAAAACTTAAATCCATTACCTCATGTTTTTAAAGATGTACAGCACATCCATCCATCCTAAACCATAACAATCTGATCACAATTTAAATATTCATTTCCTTTTAATATATATATATATATATATAAAATATTACTCACTTACTTTTGCCTTACCAGACATTGAATAGTGGCACTTTGTATCCGCCACATGTTTTGATTGACCTTTCAACCACCTGATGATATTCATAAATGTTCTCAAATTTAAACACTGAACTGATTCCATCAATAAAACTTTTATTAGTGTGAAAAGTTCCTTCTTAGAAGAGAGAGAAGCTTTATAATATTTTTAATTTTGTCATTCATTTTCCCACTATTACTCTGATATATATTTTTATCATTTCTTTCATTAAAACTAGCCTAAACAATTATAATAGATGTCTGTTTTTTTGCTGTCTGAATTTTGGGGATGAGGAGTTAGCATTATTTACCAGCCAACTATTATCCTCATCTTTATAACGTTTCGACTGTTGTGCCCACCAGCCTTCATCAGATGCTTATCAATTCATGTAACCTTCAGAGCATTTCAAACTATCCTCAGACATAGTCAGCTGAACAAGAATAATCTACACTCATAGATTAAATAAAGGGTTCAGTTCAAAACATTGTGAAACTAACAACAAAGATTGGAAGCCATTTTTATGATGACTAAAACAAATATCACAGACTATTTGAATTACTATCTAGTGTATTTTTTCATTGATTCATTTTCATAGAATTTTACTCTAGATTTTAAAAAAAAATTGATAAACTAAAATCTTCTCCAGTTGTGCACAAAATAACATTTAAAATGGAATATCACTTTTTAATCATTCCATATGAATTATTAATGAAATTATTTTAAAACTTATTTTTAAAAAATCCTCCACATTATTTTTTTTTTTAAATGTCATTGATTGAACTCCAAGACAAAAGGAATTTTCTCTGATAGTAACATTAATTTTTCAATTTTAGATTATTTGATGTAGGAGGACAAAGATCAGAAAGAAAGAAATGGATTCACTGTTTTGAAGATGTTACAGCAATCATATTCTGTGTAGCCATGAGTGAATATGATCAAGTTCTTCATGAAGATGAAACTACAGTAAGTTCATTGTTGCTTTGGCTTCTTTCGCTTCAGGCTGTATGTATAGTTTTTCACACTTAACCTACACAACTTTTTTCTAGGAAATGAGAAGAATAAGTTCATTTATACTATTTGAAATGTTAAATGCGCTCAGAGGAAGAAGTGACTCATCCATGTGAATTATTTCAGGTTCTTTGGGGCTTTTTCTACTTCTTTCATTGCTTGTTGGGTTTCACAATTTTTTTTATTGCTATGTTGGTCTGGTCATTATGTAAATATATTACAGTTTATTTATTTATGCTGGTTCTGTGGAACATTTCAAAATTTTCATATAAGAAAGTTTAAATGTTTATTTAAAATAATTATTGGTTTGGTAATGTTTCATAAAGAAATGTGATTTTTATCAAATCTCAATGTTATAAAGATCAGTATAAGAAAAATTAATGAAATCTGAAACTAAATATTTCGCTTCTTTTTAATTAATTTTACACCACTCTGATCTGTGAAATCTGTTATCTTGTCTTCGTCTTTAGATGATTTGTTTTTTTAATTGTTTTAAGATTAATTTGAAGAGTTGCTGTATTTAATGGTATATAACACCCCCACCTCCTACTTAAGATATCATGACGCTAAGTACAAGTACTGGTTGTCTATGGTGTTTGGGTAAACATTAGGTTACCAGATACCTCAAATTTACAGTCAAGAGCTGAAAGCTTTTGTGTGTGGGGATCCCTCGTAAACCATCAAATACAGTAATTGTCATCATACAATTTGCTAACCAGCTTTTTGTAAGCTTCGGGTTCCTTTTTTTGATTAAAATGAAAGCAGAAACTTGCAAACCTATCTTGTCTATAAAAATTAAAAGCCTCTAATTTTATGCAAACTAAAATCTCTTTACTATCAGCTTCTTTCTATTTTCCTCACTTACCTTCTTTTCACAATGCTGCTGATCTGAGCAACCAGATATTTACCAGTAAAACATTCTACTTTCAATCTTCTCCACTTCTCTTTAGCTACCTGCTTACTTGCCTCACCTGTTTAGTTGTATTGTCAGCTGCTTACTCTCCAAAATATATCACACTACACTTAACTATACCAGGAAGTTTCTGCTTTGATTTAGAAAGTATGCCTCTTAGATACTTTTCTACATATATATATATATATATAGGCCCAATGAGCAGAACATCTATTGCATAAAGATATAAGTTTGTTGACTGACTCATTGTTTTCTTTCCAACCTCAAATAACTTGTCATTTCTGGATCTTTTTTTATAGACAAACATAACTTCTTAAAAGTAATTATTTACCCGCTGTCCCACACAGCAAGATGTGGCACAAGGCCAAGTTTTAAAGTTGGGTATCCAAGCCTGTATGCTCAGGCAAAAATTCTCTATAGACCACATAAAAACGGAGTCAGTTTCCCGAGATGAGACTCTGCCCTTCAGCAGAGCCTTATCTGGGGGATACCCTCTGACATGTGCCAGGTAACTTCTTAAAAGTATTCTATAGCTTTGTGCTTCTTGTATTATCCTTTTTAGTATATATATTCTTTCACTTAAACTGGCAATATTTAATGATAATATATGAATGTAGAAAAATGTAAACAATAAAAAATTGAAATATATGTTTAGATACATTGTTCAATACAGTCAGTTATATAATATAGAATAAGTGATATAGAGGGGGGAACTACAATCTGAGTATGGTTTTACAATTCATTGTTATCTACATGTTTACTTATCTGTTTGTATTGCATAGTTACTTTTGAATAAATGCTAGTTTGTATAACAATGTTCAGTGATCTGATGCAATTTTGAGTTAAGAAATAATTATTAAAATTAGATTATCACAGTCAGATTTTTAAATCAAGAGTTGTAAATCATATCTACTCATAAAATAAAAATATGAAATAATTTCAAAAGTTTTTTTTCATTTTTTTTCTTTTTTAATTAAACTAAATCAGCAACAACTGAATTTCAAAAAGCAGTTGTCTATAAGATATGATTTCTACTTGAGTATTTTTAAAATGAAATTTATCTTTTCTCAAATTATCTTATCCTTAAATCTCTTTACAAAACACCTATACTCACCCACCCCATGCACACATTTTTTTTTTTTTTTTTTTTTTTTTAGAGGTGTGGGGGTAACTTGTTGAAATTTTTAAGGTAAAACTTTTTATAAATATTTAAAAAATAATTAAAAACTTATCAAAATAGGGTGGGAAAACAGTATTCTGAAAACAAAATCACTCTTCTGCTGAAGACAAAACGTTGATTTTCTTTTTTTTTTTTTTTTTTCTTAAAAAAAAAAAAAACTGGAGAAAACATCTGGACTCTTTCCTTATCTTGAGTTTATTGCAAAATTGATTACTGAAAAATATTCTGCTCTGATTAAAAAGTCTGGTCATTGGCAAAAAGTTAAATTCTAGCAAAATAAACTAACACAATTCAACAATAGTTTTCAAGAAAATGCAGTTGTAAAGGATTTCGTTAACTGACATAGTGTTGGGGAAATTAGAATGGTTTACTCACTACTTGAATTTACTATGAATATCAGTAGGTATCCCAAACTAAATTTTTATTTTCAGCATATCTAAAAACCTTTAATACAGGTATAGAGATCTTTACAAACCATAAAAAATGGTAGCAAATTTATCTTGGTAGCTCAATTAGAAACAGTTATGACCATTCAAAGTTTGTCAGAACTTTTTTGTCTCATGCTATTGGATAAAAAAACAATTTTAACAGTGTGTAACTGAAGATGAAGTCTTCAAACAAGTTAAATCATTTTAAATGTGATGTCATTTAGGTAGTCTTGAAGTAAAATTGAGATAATGCTAATGGAATCAATAATTCTTAATTCTTAGATCAGACCAGCCTAAACATTAGGAAAATTTAATTCTCAAAAATAAATGTAAAAATATAACCCAGAGTATAAATTTGACTGATTATACAAGTTATCAACAGTTAATACTTTGCAACTTCTTACTATACTTAATAGCACCACAGAGATATATTTTTTTTTTTTTTTTTACAGTAGTACCTCAATGAAAACCCTATATTCACACACACAAAAACAGGCAGAAATACAATTAGACAGTAGGGCAAAAACAGGTCAAAAGTATACCATATTGAATTTGCCATTAAAAAAGTATCCATTGAATCTTTACTAATTTTGGAATGAGGGATTCAACAAAAATAGCTCTTCTTTTTTTTTGTAGCAGATGTATCTTATTTAAAAAAAAATTTGTGAAATTATCATTTTCAATTTGTCAAAAACAAGACAGTAATGAGTACAATAGTTACAAATTTGTCTTACAAAAGGAAATTAAACCTTTTATAGTAGAGTGTCTATATTTCTGAGATGAGGTATTATGTACATTATTCAGACTATTTTCCTCATCTTTGTCGCCATATTTATTACGTTTCAGCTGTTGTACGCTCCGGCCTTCTTCAGGTGGTTGGAATGTTGAACTGAACCCTTTCTTTCACTCAGTTCTAGTCCCACATGCCATGTTTAATGGATGTCAGTTATCTCCTGTTAATTTCCCTCTGAAGGTTCTTCACTGAAAGTTCTTGACCAGGTATTGGACTCACACTCTTTGGGTCTTGTCACTGGATCTAACCAACACCTTTATCCACTGTGCCATATGTCCTTGAGGACATCTGTGTATGAATTTCTGGGTATTATAAACCTAATGTCTCAGCAACCATTTTTACCAGTGCTCATATTGCAATTTTTTGCTGTTATCAATACATGTTTTTACCAGAGCTCATATTGCAACTTTTGTTATATTATCGCTTTTCTCTGGCACTCCTTATTACTGGTTCCCATATTGTATTTATTTCTATGCTTGGTCGGCCCAGGAGATTTTTGTGGCCTAGCATATGTACTGATTCCTTAAGTTTACAAATTTTTCAATGGTGTTGTCTATGATCTCAACCTGATCCGACAGAAGGTGGTGATCTCCCTGAGTGTGAGTTCAATACCAGGTCAAGGCAGTGGAGAACTTTCAGAGGGAAATTAACAGGAGATAACGGATAATGGACATCTATTAAACATGGCACGTGGAACTAGAATAGTCGACCCCAGTGAGCGAAATAAAGGGTTCAGTTTGACATTCCAACGAAGAAGGCCGGAGCATACAACAGCCGAAACGTTGTAATAAATATGGCGACAAAGATGAGGACAATAGTCCGAATAATGTAAATAATGTTTATAGTAGAGCTTTAAACTTGTTCAGTTTTAAACTGATAGAAAAAACTTTCTGGACATTGTAAATGGTTCTTCTGCCAAATTAATTTCCTTATAAGCCACTTATTTGGTTAATATTTCTGGAACACCATATCTAGCCATCACTTGAAACTAGCATTACATCAAAGCCCCATCTGAAGATAAATGTTGATTCCACTTATGCAGTATCATCTGACAAAAGCCATCGGAAATAATCATTTCTGCTCTTTGTTAGAGCTGAAAAATTTATCACAGCACTAAATGGAGATGCAATATCAATGACTTGACCAATGTAAAAGTTGGAGTCATAATATACCCATTGGCCTTGGCACTCGTAACTGAAGGTAACCTGACGTGTTTCTTTATCACAACTGCTAGAGTTGTTTAAATTCTCAGAATCACTGAATACCTTTTCTTCTTTCCTTTGTTTTAGAAGTGGAGATGAACCAACTGGTTTTCCTGTTGCAAAAAACTGAGATTTATTTCCACTGGTGTTGATCTTGATAAGAGAATCTTCATATGTCTAGGTTAAAATAACTTAACTCAAAAAAAAATTGGAGTTGAGAGTTGGTACTTGTCAAATATGAAAGAAAATATTTTAAATTATACAAAAAATCTACATTAAATATCTTTTTTTTTTTTTAAATTTACTTGTAATTTTTCATTGCAATTCTGAAATTCTTGCAGTAAAGGATTTTTCTATTAAATGTTATGTTTTAAGAATTGAAAAATGTAAAAAAAAAAAAAAATGTAAAGTTTAATACCATTTTTAAGTGTTATCATTA